CTAGTGTCTTGCAGTTGGATCGGCTCACAAACTTCCGAATTTCACTCCTCAACATCTCATGATATTGGGACTTCTTCATCTCCTCATCTGCCACATACTACAGAAACAGAAACGCCGTCTCTCAAAACATTGCGGATATCTCAGTCATTGTCTTTGTAGTCTAGCGGAGATCTAGAAACTCTTGCGCCCAATGATGCACCTCAATCATCGGTGCATACTCACCTCGAAACCTGGTCAAGAAATCATCCCATGTCATCACACCATCACCCACTACACATCCTATCTCCTCCCACCATTCTTGTGCCCTGTCCTTTAAAAGTTAGGAAGCAAATACGACCTTTGCCTCCTCAAGGCAACGACTGGTGCAGAAGGTGTTAGCAACATCCGCTAATGTAACACTTTAATTTTCCACCCAATTTATTTTTATTTTTAAAACATTTATTTAACAGAATACATTGCAGAAGACTAATGATTATTTCAAAAACATCACCAATGTTACTTTCATCTCAAAAGAAACCCATAAAATTTTAAATTTCACAAAAACATAATGACGAAAACCCAACATGTCCAAATGGTATCATAACTAAATATACTAAATTAAACTGCCCAATGGTTCCCATCCTCACCAAGGCATCATGTCAAGCTACATATTCCAATGCATAGAAGCCAACAAGCAAAAAACAAGTCTTAGCACAAGCTAAGTGATTTAATATAGTACAGTGTTAAGAGAACACACGTATCATAGATGGATTCACAAAAAAATATCCAGACACAGTCAAAGACTCACAAGCAATACCTATAACATCACACCACATAACAAACACAGGTTTAAATCAATTCATTTTACTTCTTCTTTTAGAGCTTTTTTTTATTAATTACTCTCCTCAACGCCGCTGTAACTAATTTTATTTTATCGATTTACTGCTTAAATATTAATATATAATAATTTTTTTTTCTCGGCTTTACATTAATAATTACTCACCGCTCACCATCATTGTAATTATTAAAGTAATACCTCTTAGTTAGGGTCTATTTATACATTGCAAAACCCCCACACCAAGACCCCATTCGCTACTAACGTGATCGGCACAACCCAATGCACTAAGTGAGGCGTGACTCTCACCCGTAATCGTTGCTCCCGGTGTGTAGTGTTTGCTACTCTAACTTTGCACATACGTATACACATTGTTCTAAAAGGCGTGCCATGGCGCGCGCCATGGCGTGAGGCGTGGCTTCTCCGTTACGAAAAGCATGATAACATTGCTGTTAGGCGTGGCGCGTGGAAAGGCGCGTTATGGCGTGTTACGGCACATGTTTTTTCGTTTGAGACACAGTTTTTTTGCTCTTTGTTATGTCTTTTCAAATCGGAGATACAAGTATTGTGAGTTTTGTTAACTTTTTTTTATTAGTTATTGATCAAACACTTCTAAAAAGTAGTTATATTTAATATAAATATATATTTATGTGGTAATATAATTTTAAATTAATACAAAATCATCGTCTTATATCACGCCTTGAAAAACGCCATGGCTCGCCATGGCTCGTTAAGCTTGAGGCTTGGCCTTGCCGCCACGCCTCACGCCATTTAGAACCTTGCGTATACATGTGTTGTCGTTAAGGATTGGTACAAGAGTTTCTAATTCCAAAGAGTTACACCTCCCAATTCCCACGTGATGTCAGTGCTGATCCTACCGCATGACCAACATCACTCCAGCCCCGGTATACGGTATACCAAGGTGCACCAGGACCATGCCCTAAGTGGTTGTCTAGAAAAACCAGTCGACATTAAATTTGGCTTAAGCTCTTTATCCTATAGGTCTCTTTCAACCCACAAAACCATCATAATATATGGATAGCGTGTATACCTATGACTAGGTTACTACCCTTCACCCCACTAGTATGTTCCCATGTTAAATTTAATAACAATTAACTAAATAAGGAGTTACACTTTTACCCTCTAAAGTAAACATGTAAATATTATGAAATTTCTTTTATTAACATATTACATATTTAAAAGTTCGTTCCATGTAAAGATGTAATTTTATATAGTTATCACATTTTACATCACACACTACTTTCATTCACAAGACTTCTATAAGGATAAGACAACACTAGCATGCTTGTCCTAAAATTTAGTAATTAAATATTTTCAATAACAATTAACATGCTCACATAATATAATATTCATTCACATCACTCAATCTAGCATGACACTAGCTCACACCTCACATCAAACAAAGAGTAATCTAGCATGCAACATCCTAGATAGCGTTACACATAAAACATTGCAAAAATCATGGCACGACACACAATCATCAAAGGGCACATCCATCCTAGATTACTAGGTTCATCCCATTCCATCTAAGATATATGATACTCCGAATAATTTACTTTTAAAAACTACGAAGTTGACTCACCTTTGCCAAAGATGTGTCCAACTCAGACTTCAAGTCTTGTAAAGGTTGAAGTATCATGCTTTCCCCTATTACAATAAAAATAAAAATGGTATTGGAGTTCTACAATGCCAAATATGACAAATCCATAACCTAAACACATAAATCAAAGCTCTTAGTTTTGGACCCAAAACAGCTACCTGTTTAGAGCTCTTTTAGCACACTTGGGACCTGTAAAATTTTAATTTTTATTTCATATTCCATAATTTTCAGAATTGTAGCTTTTCATAAAGTACTTATAAAGTTCCAAACGGTTTTTCAAAATTTTATACGATTTTTACAAAACTACCTATCAATGAAGCTATATTATGACCAACTAGTGGAACATATGATTTTCACCTACGTTGGACGCAACAACATGTCCTGGAAATATTCACAGACAAACTAGATCGAAATGAAAACTTTGAGAATTTACGTATCAATAATTCGACTCCTGGTGATTTTTCCATAATTTTTCTAATCTAGGGTCAGATTTGGGAATTTCTTGCAATTTGTAGCTTTGGGTTTTAAAGACTTTTTGACCACTTAACTCATTAATCCATCACCCAAATCGACCAAATAACTTAAAAACAAGTCAAAATCATAAGCAATATTTCATGTAAGTAAAACTATAGTTTCACCTTCCAACCATGGCTCAAAGTACATTGTCTTTAATGAAAAGACAACATATGATGCCAAAAAGGGAAAACCATTTGGATTTGAATTTCTCCAACTAATTCCCATATTTGAATATACTTGCAAACATTTTTGAGGATCTTATGAAGAGTCCACAACATAGCCATTAACCAAAAATTCCATCATCAATATTAGATAACAAAAACGTGAATTTTGACAATCAACAAAAGAGTAATTCAAGGACATATCGAAATCATTCTTGAGTGTGTTCATAACATGATTTGGGCAACAATAAATCATTAAAACACACGCAATGAGAATGGAATTAGACAATAGAACGTTGAAGAATTTCAATGATGAAAAAGAATGAAAAATAACAACAAAAACGGAGGAAATCAACACAAAAACTCATCCAATTGACAAGTAATTGGGATAAAAAGTTGACAAGAATTACGATAGAAGATTTTTACCAACAATTGATCATATTTTCATAGCCTCCTTCACGTTGTCCTCCCTCTCGTTTCGTTGCAGCCCCACCCCCAAGCCAATCGTTTTTTTTTAACTATGTCGATCAAAGCACAAGGTGTGCATTTTTTTCCTGTCGACGTCGCACAAACACAAGGGATTGGTTTTTGTTTCTTGATCCAAAATCGACGACACACAAGGCAATAGGAAGTCTTGGCCGATTTTTTATCTTTTCTACTTGATGCCTGCGTCAAACAATCACTCTCACAAAGGAAGGTTTGATTTCTATTTTTTTTCTTATAACACGTGATGATGGAACAAACGCATGGAGAAGGATCGATCCTTCTGCTTAGGGTTACTCCAAATTCCCTAGTTAGCCCATCAAGAATCTTAAGAAGATTTCCTACACACTTAACCATAATTAGTTTACAATTATAGTTTCCTTTTATGACATTTGAGACCCTCAACCCCAATTACCCCAATAAAAAAAATTATTGACGTTGATAATTTCATAAACTAATTTCATTAAAGTACACACCTTTTAATTTTGACTAATTCTTTTAGATATTAAATAATAATATATTTAGTTTATTTATTCCAATTTAACCTAATAAATCTAGAATATTTTGCATAAATAGCTCTTCGAGTAACGGAAAAATCAGCGTCATTTACGATAGGATTTTAAGGTCGTTACAATACCCCCCACCTTAAAATAATTATGTCCTCCGAATTAGATACCGATACAAACAATTTAGGGTAACAAAACTTCATATCTTCAACCACCAAGGCTACTTTTGACCTGTACATGCCCTCTTATCGGAATATAATTAGCTTGAATCGTCTCATTCATGGATGCTTGGTCTTTCTCCAAGCAAGATAACTTCCAACTCTCTCAACTTGTTTACTAATTCCTCGCCTTGTAACTTATATAACACAAAGATACTCACCACTCAGCTTTCCTAGATCATCAAAATGGCAAATTATCTTCACAAAATCTATTCACCCCTTCTACAAGAAGGTGTGCACTAAATTCCATTAACTCCCTACCACATGAGCCGAGGAACTTCAAACTCCATCACTGGAGACTTGCTAACCTTAAAGCATTCATGATGAAAACAAACCCTAGAGTTATCTCCTCATAACGTGATCTTATCCTCACACAAGACAAAGGACTTACACACGTTTCGGTGTAGAGAATTTCAGTATGGCTAGCAAACAGCCAAAATGTATGAATGTCGACGCCACATGACTTGATCCCGATCAAAGTCCAAGTCAAAAGGAAAAAGTGTGTACAACCACCACATTACAACACTCCTCATATAATTCCCGAAACATGAAAACAAGATTTGCTACCGCTATCACAACGTCTAACACACAAAAATTCAGAAAGACTTCGAACTAACAAACAATAAACACATAAATAAGAAAATATGAATGCTCTACCACCACTAACATCAACACATTTACCTAAAGCAACAAAACACTTAGATGAGAAAGTTTTGAGAATACCTCATCATCGTATCTGACCTCCTTAGTAGTCATCTGAAATGCTCGCTCCTGCACTTTTGGTGCGTCACTCTTCTTAACACTACCACCAGACTGAGCCTTTACATTTCGACATTGTCTACTCATATGACTCGTTTGCCTACAACTATAGAAGAGCAGCTCATTGTTGAATTTTTCTTTCTTGTAGCCCAACTTTCCTCATCGTCTGCAACTCATGGTGTCACTACTGCATGACCCTTTATGTGAGGAGTGACATTTCACATAGAAACTCACCTTATCACTTTGTACAACCTGATGACCCTTCTTCTTCTTCTTTAAGGACTCATATCGACACTTTTTCTTTCGTTTCCCCACACCATGCATGTCTCCATGGTTCCGAGCTAAGAGGTCTACCCTGAAATTTTGTGTTTCATGTTTCATGTTGTCCTTGGTAGTTCCAACTTCGTCAAACATTAGCCCTGCATCTTGTAGAAACTGTTGCATCTCCATTATCTAAGCCCTTTGAAGCGTATTCTCTTCCTCTAGTTTCTTATGGCGTGCAGCTATGGATGGATCATGAATTCCCATGGGTGGTCGTACATGTGGTTCCCAATCTAGCTGAATTATTGGAGAAACATATTCTCCCTGACAGCATTGGTCACTATGACCATCTCTGGCACCAATGTTCTCTTGTGGCGAAGACATACCTCTAAATGACTAAAGGATTTAAATTTTACTAGATAACAAAAGGGATGATTCTAATATGATAAGGAGGTATAAATGTTCAAGGGGTCACAAAGCTATTAAGCACATAAAACACTCATCACACCCTCCCCCCCCCCCCCATTTAAGATTCTAGAACAATCTAATTAAGCTAATCTACAGTGTGAGTCTGAACATTGGCCTCTTCATTCAGTTCACTCATAGCATGGCTCTGATACCAACTTGTAACAATGTGATTTTTCACCCACTTTTTTATATTTTTAAAACATTTATTTAACAGAATACGTTGCGGAAGACTTATTATGGTTATTTCAAAAACATCACCAATGTTACTTTCATGTCAAAACAAACCCAGCAAAATTTAAAGTTCACAAGAACATAATCATGAAAACCCAACATGTCCAAATGGTATCATAACTAAAGATACTAAATTAAACTATGAAAAGGTTCCCATCCTCACCAAGGCATCATGTAAAGGTACTTGTTCCAATGCACAAAATCCAACATGTAAAGAACACGTGTTAGCACGAGCTAAGTGAGTCAATATAGTCCAGTGTTAAGAGAACACACATATCATAGATGGATTAAAAAAAAACATCCACACACAGTCAAAGACTCACAAGCAAGACATTTAAGATCACACCACATAAAAAAAACACAAGTTTAGCTCAATTTATTTTAGTTCTTCTTTTAGAGCTTCTTTTATTAGTTACTATCCTCAACGTTGCTGTAACTAATTTTATTTTATCGATTCGCCTCTTAAATATTAATATATAATAGTTTTTTTCTCTGTTTTAAATTAATAATTACTCACCGCTCACCATCATTGTAATTATTAAAGTAATACCTCCTAGTTAGGGTCTATTTATACAACGCAAAACCCCAAGTAAAGACCCCTTCTGCTACTAACGTGACTGACACGACCAAACGCACTAAGTGAGGCACGACTCTCACCCGTAATCATTGTTCTCGGTGTGTTGCATTCGCTACTCTGACTTTGCAAATATGTATACAAGCACTATTGTTAAGGAATGGTATGAGCGGTTCCAATTCCAACAAGTTATACCTCCCAAATCCCACGTGATATTTGTGTCGGTCCTACTGCTTGACCAAAATCCCTCCAATCTCTGTATACCAAGGTGCACCAGGACCATGTCCCGAGTGGTTGTCTAGAAAAACCAGTATGCGTTAAAGTTGGCTTAAGCTCTTTATCCTATAGGTATCTTTCAACCCACAATGCCATCATAATGTCTGGATAGTTTATATACCTGTGACTTGGTTACTACCCTTCACCATACTACAGTGCTCCCCTTTATAATTTAATAATAATTAATTAACTAAGGATTTACACTTTTACCATCTTAAGTAATCATGTAGCCATTACGAATTTTCTTTTTTTCACATATATTCCTCTTTAAAGGTTCATTCCTTGCAAACATGTAATTTTATATAGTTATTACATTTTACTTCACACATTTCTTTCATTCACAACATTTACTTAAATATTTTCAACAAGAATTAACATTCTCACATCATATAATATTCATTCACATCACTCAATCATGACCCTAGCTCACACCTCACATCAAACAAAGAGGAATCTAGCAAGCAACATCCTAGATAGCGTTACACATAAAACATTGCAAAAATATGGCACAACACACACAATAATCAAAGGGAGTATCTATCCTAGATTACTATGTTTATCTCACTCCATCTAAGATGTAGGATACTCCTAGTAATGTACTTTTAAAAACTACGAAGTTGACTCACCTTTGCCAAAGATGTGACCAACTTACACTTCAAGTCTTGTAAATGTTGAACAATAACCCTTTCCCTCATTAAAATAAAAATATAAATGTTATTGGAGTTCTACAATGCCAAATATGACATATCAATAACCCAAACACATAAATCAACTAACAAGTAAAGTTCTCAGTTTTGGACACAAAACAGCTACCTGTTTAGAGCTGTTTTAGCTCAGTTGGGACCTGTTAAAATTTTATTTTTGTTACATATTACATAATTTCAGAATTGTAGCTTTACATAAAGTACTTTTATAGGTCCAAAATATTTTTCTACATTTTTATATGATTTTTACAAAACTGTCTATCAATGAAGCTATATGCTGACCAGCTGGTGAAACATGTGATATTCACCTAAGTTGGACGTAATAATAGGTACTGGAAATATTCATGCACAAACTAGATTCGAAATGAAAACTTTGAGAATTTACGAATCATTAATTTGGCTCCTAGTGATTTTACTATAATTTTTCAAATCTAGGGTCAGATTCGTCAATTTCTTGCATTTTCTGGCTTTCAGTTTTAAAGACTTTTTGACCACTTAACTCATAAATCCATCACCCAAATCGACCAAATAGCTTAAAAATGAGTCCAAATCAGAAGAAAATTTTCATGTAAGTAAAAGTATAGTTTCACCCTCCAACCATGGTCCAATGTACATTGTCTTTAATGAAAAGACAACATATGATGTTAAAAAGGGAAAGCCACTTGGGTTTGAATTTCTCCCACTAATTCCCATATTTGAATATACTTGAAAAACTATTTTGAGGATCTTATGAAGATTCCAACACATATTCATTAACCAAAAATTCCTTCATGAATATTAGATAACAAAAACGTGAATTTTGACAATCAACAAAAGAGTAATTCAAGGACATATCAAAATCATTCTTGAGTGTGTTCATAACATGATTTGGGAAACAATGAATCATAAAATAAAAAATAAAAAATAAAAACAAAAATAAAAAAAAACACACTCAATGAGAATGTAATTAGCCAATAGAACATTGAAAATTTTCAAGGATGAAAAAAAATGAAAAATAACAACAAATAAGGAGGAATTCAACACCAAAACTCATCCAATTGACAAGCAATTGGGATATAAACTTAACAAGAAGAAGGATACAAGATTTTTACAAACAAGTGATCCAATTTCATAGCCTCCTACACCTTTCCTCCCTCTCGCTTCGTTTCAGCCCCACCCAATCCCATAGTTTTTTTTTTGAATTACGATTGATCAAAGCACAAGGTGTGCATTTTTTAGCTGTCGACGTCCCACAAATGCAAGGGATCAGTTTTTGTTTCTTGAACCTCAAGGGACGACACACAAGGCAATAGGAAGTCTTGGGTGATTTTATTTTCTTTTCTCCTTGATCTTGCGTTGAACGATCACTCTCACAAAGGAAGGTTCCATTTATTTTTCTTTTCTCCTTGATCCCCAGTAAAAACAATTATATTTACGCTAATAATTTCATTAAATTACACACCGTTTAATTTTTATTAAGTCTTTTAGATATTAAATAATACTCTTTTTAGTTAATTTATTTCATTTTAACCTCAGAAAGCTAAAATATTTTGCATAAATAGCTCTTCGAGTAACGGAAAAATTAACATCGTTTACGATAGGATTTTCGGGTCGTTACAATTCTCCCCTCGTTAAAATGATTTCCTCCTCGGAATCAGATACCGATACAAACAACTTACGGTAACAAACCTTCATATCTTCAACCACCTAGGTTACTTCTGACCTGTACATTCCCTCCTATTCGAACTTAATGAGCTTGAATCGCCCTATCCATTGTTGCTTAGTCTTTCTCCATGCAAGATAATTTCCAACTCTCTCAACTTGTGTATTAATTCTTCGCCTTGTAACTTATCTAATAGAAAGATACTCACCACTCAGCTTTCCTAGATCATCAAAATGGCAAATTTTCTTCATAAAATCTATTGACCCCTTCTACGAGAAGGTGTGCACTAAATTCTTTTAACTCCCTACCGAATGAGCCGAGGAACTTCACACCCCGTCACCAGAGACTTGCTCACCTTAAATCATTCATGATGAAAATGAACCCTAGAGTTATCTCCTCATAACAAGATCTTATCCTCACACAAGACATAGGACTTACACACATTTTTGGTGTAGAGAATCTCAGTATAGCTAGCAAACAGCCAAATTGTATGAATGTCGAAACTCACCTTATCACTTTGTACAACCTGATGCCCCTTTTTCTTCTTCTTTGAGGACTCAGATCGACACTCTGTCCTTCGTTTCCCCACACCATGCATGACTTCATGGTTTTGAGCTGAGAGATCGACCCTGAAATTTTGTGCTTCAAGTTTCATGTTGTCCTTGGTAGTTCCAACTTCGTCAAACATTATCCCTACATCTCGTAGGACATGTTGAATCTCCTTTATCTGATCCCTTTGAAGCTTATTCTCTTCCTTTAGTTTCTCAAGGCGTTCAATTATGGATAGATAATGAATTCACATGGGTGGTCGCACCCGTAGTTCCCGATCTAGCTGAAGCGTTCGAGACACATATTCTCCCTGACAACATTTGTCACTCTGACCATCTGTGGTAACGATGTTCTCTTGTGGCGAAGACATACCTCTGAACAGCAAAAGGATTTAAATTTTACTAGATAACAAAAGGAATGATTCTAATAAGATAAGGAGATATAAATATTCAAATGATCACAAAGCTATTAAGCACATAAAACACTCATCACCCCCCCCCCTACATAAAACACTCATCACCCCCTACCCTTAAGAGTCTAGAGAAACCTAATTGAGTTAATCTACACTGTGAGTCTAAACACCGGCTTCTACATTCAGTTCACTCATAGAATGGCTTTGATACCAACTTGTAACATTGTGATTTTTCACACATTTTTTTAAAAACATTTATTAACATAATACGTTGTGGAAGACTTATTATGATGATTTCAAAAACATCACTAACGTTACTTTCATATCAAAACA